TTGTTTTTTTTTTTTTTTTTAATGTAGCAAGGGACCAAACTCAGGACCGTGCTCTTGTGAATCAGACAGCGGAACCACTGAGCTAAATCCCTGGCCCTGGCTCCCTTTATCTTTAAGGCACTTTATGGTCTGGTCTTTCTTCCTCTCATTTCATATGTTTATCATTTATATCAGTCTCTTTAATTTTCCCCATGTAATCTATGCTAATTTATACACCCACTACCTGGGTTTTTGTCATTTCTCAGCTTAGAAGCTACTTCTTCCTTGTCTTTATACCCTTCAAGGTATACCATCTCCACAAAGACTACCTTGTTTTTTCTGAATCTGATGATTGTTTCTGAGCTACATTCTTGTGGTAGGCTGAAAAATAACTCCCCTAGATGTCCACATCCTAGTCCCTGGAACCTGTGAATGTGTTATTTTACATGGTAAAAGGGACTTTGTAAATGTGTTTAAATTAAGGATCTTGAGATGGAAGAGATTACCCTGGATTATCAAGGTGGGTCCAATGTAATCACAAGAGTCCTTATTGGAGGGAGGCAGGAGGATCAGAATAAGAAATAAAAAATGTAATGACAGAAACAAGAAGCTAAAATATAAAAAGCATCCATGAGTCAGGAAATGTAGATGAAAAGGCAAGAAAACAAATTCTATTCTGAAATGCACAAAAAGAATGCAATCTTGTCAATACCTTGATTTTAGACTTTTTTAAAGGAGCCATTCACTTTTATTTACTAAAAATCTTAAAGTTTACACAAATGCTTTAGAAAATATTTTAAAATTCACTATATTTTCTGGAAAAATATGATTTTAGACTTTTGATCTCTTTGACCTGTAAGAGAATAAATTGGTGTTATTTTAAATTATTGAACATGGTAAATTATTAATAGAATAATATGCTACTTATAGTGCGTTCAGACTTTATATTCTCTATTTCTGATATTTCATGTCAGATAGCATTAGGAATCTCTTATATTCCCTAAGTGAATTATCAGGGTTTGTCTCTAAAATTCCCAGTGATTAGGAGCCCTCTTCCTATCAGGTCTGTCATAGTTTAATGGATTCACTTGGGATCCATAGATGCTAAACAATCAAAACAAAGTGAAAAGCCTTGGTCTAGCAAGCTTTATACTATATTGTTCCATTGTCTTTGAGGGTAGGAACCTTACTTCATGCCTTTCTTGCTTTTACCACAGCACATGACCCAGTATTGAGTGCTCCCAGAGACAGAAGAAACAGGGTGGGCATAATTCACCATACTATTGTTATATACAGAAGTTGCTTAGTAGGCTATCTGTAAGTACATTTTAGTATATAGACCAATACTTAGAACAGCTTTATCCAACAGATGGGAAAAGTAAAACTCAACAAGTAACTCTCTGTGCTTACATAGCTAGTAAGCAGCAAAGTGAAGACTATGTATGAAAGAAACCAGCTTCAAATGCATGAATGAAACTAACTTTTTAAAAGAAACTAATATTTATGAATAGCTATTTTGTGCCAGGTCTTTTTGAAAATGTGATTTAGTCCTTATTGAAAATCTCCCTGAAAACAGATGAATTAGTTTCACTTTTTCAGGTGAGGTGACTCAGAGTTCAGAGAGATTAACTACCCAAGGTTACACAGGTAATATGTAACAAGGCTTGGATTATGACAATATCATGCAATTTTATGTGGTTATTAATATTAATAAGAATATTTGGCATCTCTACTTGTTGCTGAAAGTATACTTACAGATTTCCTTGTTAATGTTTTAAATCATAAGAGCATGATTACAAGGTGCGTAGATCAAGCAAGAAATCACCCTTGTGTTAATGAAGGAAATCACAACCATAGTAACAAGAAAGTTAATTGGTTTTAACACAGCACTACAACAATCAGAATGACACAGTGAGCCACTGAAAAGCAGAGAACAATTTCTGGGTTCAAAGGATCAAAAGTATCTCTGCTCCACTCCTAATAGGTATGCTATAGTGATTCTTGAGGACAAGGGATATAGGATCTTCCCAAATTATGTAATAAACCTTCACATGGTAAACTTGCACCAGGCCTCCTAGATTGGACCTATATCCCTAGGCATACCCTACTTTTTAAGTGTTTTGTGTTTTATGGTTGAGGATGAGAAAAACCCAAGACTTCCTCGAAGACTTTGATTTCTTTTTGATACAAGATTTCTTGTTTTGTTTTTGGATTTTTTTGAATTAATGTTTTACTAGTGCATATGGGTTATACAGATTAATGGGCTTCATTTTGGCAGATTCATACATGTAAATATACTTTGATCATTTTGCCCATAATTACCCCCTCACCATACCTTCTCCACTACCTTTGCATGTGGGGGAATTTCAATACACATAATGTATTTTGATCATATCATTCTCTCCATTACACACCTTCAGAAACACCTCTCTTCCCCCTTATTCCCTTCCTCTTGTCTAATAATGACCTTTCCTCTAGTTTCTTGCCATATTTTTTGTTTGATTTCACACATTAGGGAGAGTACATGACATATGTCTCTCTGAGTCTGACTTACTTTGCTCAAAATGATGATATCCTGATCCATTTTCATGCAAATGAAACAATTTTACACTTCTTTGGGGCTAAATAACATTCCATCATATATATAT